CTGAGCCTCATTAGTCCACATGGCACTTCCTCCAGGAAGCGCCTCATCTGTGTGCAATTGATGTCTCCACAGAGAGCCCCTGCACACGCCCCGGACCCTCTTAAAGCGCTTTTCCCTTTTGAAAAGCTACCCCTCAAAGTGTGGCCTCGGAGGCAGCGAAAACAAAGAGCGGGCCGAGTAAGGTTCCCTTCAGTGAACACGTCTCTGCCAAGAACCACACAACCAGAAACCCCCGTACAGAACGGGCCCCGAAGAATCATGAAAAAAGGACCAGAGAAAATTCTTCAACTGCGGGAGTCGTTACTCACCCTGGGGCCTGAGGGCTGAAACGGAGGATGTATGTTCTCTATAATTTCCCCCCTAAATAGAGGCTTAAAATACTAATTCCCCCGCCGGACTGTGCTTCCTCCCTGAAAGCCATGGGGGTTAATAACATACAGGAGCCCATTTGATCTCTGTGGATGAAAATGGTACAATCTCCAATTTCCTCATTAAAAAAAAAAATTAAACGGAATGGTTGCTTTTGAGTTTAAACATGAAATAGATGAGGGCCACAAGAGGAGAAGCTCATTTTCCTGCTAATAATAATTTATAAAGAGAAGGTGAAGACTCTCTACTGATGGTATCATTTTATATGAAATATAAACAGGTTACACAGCCAGCAACGTGCTGTAAGTCAATTTAATGTGTGTGAGCAAACTTATGATGCACCAATGTATTATGCTCAGAAAACAACTCAGACACACACACATACACACACACCCATAAATCTCTGACTAAAATAGCCCATAAAATTCAAAATATTTTCTTTGGGTGACACAGATCTATACTTATATTGGCATAAATGGTCATGGGTTGTCAACAAAGATATATCAAGTGATTCACCTAAATCACTCTTCGATCTCTAGAGCTAAGCTTGTAAAATGTAGAGAGTTTACTTTCTCGAGTCTGTAAGCCTCATTCTTATTAACTTGAGAAACTGTTTAGGAGTCAAAGAAACATAACACATCACTATAGTTCTGTGTCTTGTAAATTCTATAATCAATAATATACCCCTTTTCCCACACTGTAAAAATTTTAAACAGAACTATAAAACACAATATCTTGGCAAAGCGACTCCCACTTAAAATCCAGCAGCTGATTGCGAGAAGAGGGCCAAGGCACGACTATTTTTATCTTCATTCTCCTCAAGGGCTCCAGTGCTACTGACTGGAATTAAGCCGCTAAGATTTTTTTTTTCCTCCCCAGTTTTCGTCAAGTGCTTTCTTTTCAAATGCTTCTCTGCCGACCCTCTTTAATTAAGGGTGCAGCCAAAGTCAATTAATCTTTGTTAATCTGAAATAACTCTTATGGTAGCAGAGGTTTATTTTTCGGAGTGCCACAAGGGTATATTACAGATTGATAGTGATTAGTATTCACCTCAATACCTCCCAATATTTCATTCCAGAGGAGAGATGAAAAGGGAGGAGGGGGATGAGATAAAAATAAAAAGAAAGAAACAGATGCTGGCAGCCTTCTCTCCCCCTCCGCCCCCTCTTGCCCTGCCCTTCCTCCCATGTCCACACATCCCCCCACAGGCCCCACCTTCTCCCTCTGATTATATTTTCAAAGTGTATTTGTACAGCTGTGAGGAGTATGGGTATTCTATCCATTCTCACTTCTGGTTCAAATATGTATTCGACACAGAATAAGCAAGAAAATCACCTACACCAGTTCAGTTTCCGGGAATTTATTCTGGATTTGTAAGAACTCACGTGGCATCCCTCCTCTTCATCTGGATGAGCCAAGGGCTCCTCTTTGTTGAGTTCTCAAGTTTATAAGCGGAGCAGATCTGGACAAATGTTGTGAAGGCAAACTGCATCCATGGCTCCTGGCCCACAGTGACCCCTGGGGTTCCAGCAGGCTCTCGGGGTTCCACACGTCTACCCGGGCTTGCCACTTGGACAAGACACTGAACTTAGCTCTAAGTTTGTTTGCTCACTACTAAAAAAATAACATAACAGAGCCTAGGAGTGACTATCTCACAGGACTGCTGTGAGGATTCAACAACGTACATGCACGGAGCTTACAAAGGCTGGGCACTATGAGCACTCAATATATTTTCAGTGTCTAGGTTTTGAAAACGAATCCTAAGGCTAGGTTAATGGACTATACATATAAGTATATTATATTTGCAGGGATGAACAATATACTTGTCCTACGAGAAGCAGTGGTGGTTTGCAATAAGATGCAAAGTGGGCAAATCAAGGAATACTCAAGGAAATAAGCTATTGACTGTTCTTCCAATGATTCCCCACAGCAATTTCCCTAATGCCATTTCCAAGGAGGGGCCAGAACATTCTAGTTTGGGTCACATTAGCTGGAGATGTGTAGGGATGTGTTCTTTGGCTGAGGACCTATTCACATTTCCAATTAGGGGAGTTTGCTTATCACGCTTTGGTTTAATTATTGGCTGAGTGCTCTCACCCTTTCCCCGACCCCATCCCAGCCACTAACATCCTCCCGCTCTTTCCTCTGAAATTCAGGATTAGTCATTAGCAAAAACCTAGAATCCCCTTCTTCTCTTTGCACACTCCCTTTGCATCTTAATCTACAGAACCTGGCTCGCTCCTACGAACACTTCTTCCTCTTCCACCCACCCTCTCAGGCAGCAGCCCCTCTCTCAGCCAAACGGCTTGTACCCCTGGATTAGAAATGGAGCAGGCGGCATCCATTCCGCTTCCTGCTCCTTCGATGCCTCTAGCATTGTATCTCATGTCCTCAGACTATGGTGCCAATTACTCCTCCTCATTGTACTTAGCACCAACGAACTCCTGAATGACTCCCCTTCACTTTATGAAGATTTTAGCTCCTAAATGTCATACTCTTTCAATGCTAGTTCTACCACAATCGTCTGTTTCAACAGGCACACAGATGATCCTGTAATATTGTACGGCAGGACCACCGTTTGCAATAGGAGTGGGGAACGCCCGGCCCACGGGCCACATAAGGCCAAGAAATCATTTGGTCTGGCCCTGCCAAGGCATTATGACGAGTTAAGTAAATGTTTGACCATATAGAACAGGCTAATGTCTATGCTGATACATTTGTGTGGCCTGTGAATGATGTTATAAATATCCAAATGGCCCTTGGTAGAAAAAAGGTTCCCCACTCCTGCTTTACAACATCTTCATGCAAAAAAGAGAAAGCGATGTTTCCTCCCACTAGACCAGTGATTCCCAAAGTGGGCGCTACCGCCCCCTGGTGGGCGTTGCAGCGATCCAGAGGGGCGGTGATGGCCACAGGTGCATTTGTTTTAACTTTTTTGTATTACCTTTCTATTCTGAGTTCAAATAAATAGTTTCATAATTTCAAACTTCAATGTTTCTAATTTACACCTTTCTTTACTATATTTTACGAAAAAGGTAGAAACATTAATACATATATCTTTCTGTTTAATTGCTATTAAAATTAAAAAAAAATTAATTTCCAGGGGGCGCTGAGTAATATTTTTTCTGGAAAGGGGCGGTAGGCCAAATAAGTTTGGGAACCACTGGCTTAATGGATAGAGCGTCGACCTGCGGAATAAAGGGTCCCAGGTTCGATTCTGGTCAAGGGTACATGCCCGGGTTGCAGGTTCGATCCCCAGTGGGGAGTGTGCAGGAGGCAGCCTTTACTATATTTTACGAAAAAGGTAGAAACATTAATACATATATCTTTCTGTTTAATTGCTATTAAAATTTTAAAAAAATTAATTTCCAGGGGGCGCTGAGTAATATTTTTTCTGGAAAGGGGGCGGTAGACCAAATAAGTTTTGGAACCACTGCACTAGACCCTGTTCCAGGACACTAAGGTGGGGCCATGGCGGGCTACTGACTTTCAGCTACGGATGCCCCCTCACCCAGGCCACTCTGAAAAGCAAGTGCACACACTGCCTGACCCCCCCTCAGGACAGCCTGACACCCAGCCTCCACCTTTCCTCTCACTTCAGACATGTATTCCACAACGTTACCCCAAACTCAACTGGATAAACCTGAATACACTCCACTCTCACATCACCCATTCTTTTAACCTATTTTCTCTGTAACAACAAATCACAGAACCCTTCCCCCCAAAGATGCCTCCCCCTTTCACACCATCCCTCCCACACAGGGTCTTCACCCACCCCCTCAACCAGCTTCAATTCCACGGAGACTGATCTTAACTACTCTATTTCATGCACCCTCACCTCCCTCGCCCCTCACTCTTTTAATCATTGACGCCTGGCAAAATCCCAACTCTAGTCAAATCCAACTCTGCGCCTACTCTGGACTTGTTCAGTGATCGGTCATGAACATGACTGAGAACAATGCACAGCCATGCTGACTGGTCTCATTCAATTCAGGATTAGCAACTTTAGGAGTATCCATAATGGTGTCAGACTCTAGACAAACATTTCATATCTTCTCCTGAAATCTCTACAAAACTGTCTTCCCTATCCTCACCCTCAACTGATGAGTATGTTTCCTATTTCACTGAGCAAAAGCAGCAAACTTCTACAAGTCTTCTCCCACATGTACTCACTTACCTTTATTTCTAGCCAAACACCCTGACATTTCCGACGGCTTCCTTAGAAAACCTCTCCATAGACCTAAATAAGGCCTAGCTCCTCCTCTGTTTAAAAGGTCCCATTTCCTTCCTGCCGGTGTGGCTCCATGGGTGAGCACTGACCCATGAACCAAAACGTCCCCTATGATTCCTGGTCAGGGCACGTGCCAGGGTTGCAGGCTCCATCCTCGGTAGGAGTGTGCAGGAGGCAGCTGATAAACGTTTCTATCTCTCTAACCCTCTCCCTTCCTCTCTCTCTAAAATCAATAAAAACATATCTAAAAGACTCTATTCCCGCTCATCATATCATCAAGCACATGGCAATAGGATACCCTCCTTGTTATCAAATTCTCCTCCTCGACTGGATTTTCCCATCGGTATACAATTATTTTAATATTTACCTCTCCTATTAAAAAAAAGTTTCTCTTGGCTCCACTTTCCCATTTCACTCCTTCCCTTTACCTCAAAAATCCCTGAAAGAGTTGTCCACACTTGGGGTCACCAGTTTCTGTTCTCCCATTCTCTTGAGCCCACTCCATTCAGGCTTGTGGTCTCACCGGTCAACAAAAACTGTCCTTGTCAAGTTCGACAATAGCCTCGCAAAGCTAGACCCGACAGCTATTTCTAAGCCTTCATTATACGTCGACATATCAAAAACATTTGCTACAGTTGAGTCAGTGCCTCCCCACAAACCCTTTCTTCACTTGGTTTCCAGAAGGGACCACGTGTTCTCCTGCCCATTCACCCTCAGCCTCATTTGCTGGTTCCTACCATCCTGCTCACTTTTAACATTCAAGTGCCCCTGAGCTTAGTCTTTGGACCTCTTCTCTTTTCTATTCACCTTCAGTTTCTTGTTCTCATCCAGTTTCTTGCCTTTGAATCTCATCTATCAACTGACCACTTTCACATGTACATCTCCAGCAAGGTTTTTCCCATGAGTTTAAGACAGGTAAGTCCAATTATTTAACATATCAATCTGGTTGTTGAAAATGAATCTCATACTCAGTATGTCCCAAACTAAGTTCCTGATCAATAACCCCAGCCCCAAACCGATTCTCTGGGAGAGCTGCCATCTACGTTAAAGACAATGCTATTCTTCTCTTTGCTCACACTCAACCCTTGGAGTCATCTCGAACTCTTCTTTCTTTCATAACTGCATTAAATTCAGCATCTTCTATTGGATCTACCTTCATGTGCATCCAGAATCCAATCATTTATCATCACATGCTCCGCTCTTTCTCTTATTCACACCACCATCACCTCTTCTCTAGATTATGACTAAGGCTTTTTAATCAGTCTCGCTGTCTTTACCTGGTTAACATACAATCTATATCTATCTACATACATATATAAATAGATAGAGGTGAAAACAGATCGATGTCTATATGCCTGTATCTATCTATCTATCTATCTATCTATCTATCTATCTATCTATTGTACTGAGTGATCCTAAGTGAGATCATCGTCTCTTTAACTCAAAACCCTATAATGGTTTAACATCTCATTCAAAACAAAAGCCAACATCAAGGCACTATATAGTCTGGCCTATAACTTCTCTTACTTCTTAATTTACCATATTTTGCCCCCCTCCCCCCTCCCCCTTTAGCTCTTTCTGGCTCCCAACCACACTGGCCTCTTGATATTTCTGGAACATTCTATGAACTCTCCTGCCCCAAGACTTATATAATTTCTGCTGCTTCTACCAAAAACTCTCTCCCATTAAATATCTTCTCCCTCACTCCCATTGGGTCTTTTCTCAAACGTACCCCTCTCTCCCACTTTTATTTCCTTATTTGTGTTGCCCCATATCACTTGTCAGCACTGAATAAGCTATAAATTTTACATATGTTTTTAAAAATATATATGTTTTTTATTGATTTCGGAGAGAGGAAGAGAGAGAGAGAAATAGAAACATCAAT